TGATTCATAATGCCATGATTTTTAATCAATCCAACACTTACAGATAGTATTCTCATATTTAACCCCACATTGATACTCATTTTAAAAGTTTAATCTAGAATGAAACCAACAAAAAGAAAGGAAAAAAAAGCCCCCCCCAAAATACAAAGTAATGCAGTGACAGAGATTATTGTACATATGTCTAAGAAACACAAATTATGAGGATGCAGTAAGGATGGTAGCCACTTTGTGCAAATGACTTCCTCAAGGAATTCAGTATTACCTAAATATCTCAAGTGTGCACAAACCTGCAGCAGAACTGGAACACAATGGCTTTGGAAGGAGGTAAAGAGTTACTCTTTATTCTTAAACTCCAAATCAGAATTAGAAAATCTGTTATTTTAACTTTGGAGCTACAATGAGAAACAAGTTGGCAAGGAAGCCTCACAGCCTGGTTCCATCACGTTAAGTAGCAGATGTTACCTTCTCAATACTACATTACACTTATACCTCACGAAGGGCATACATCAAATTCCACACAACAAAGGGAATTTTATATTTGCCATAAATTACTATGTTCTTGTTAACATTAAAGGCTATCTCATGGCCTCCTTGCATTGGCACGTTCTATCAGCACAAACTAGTCACCTGAATGCCCTTAGAATTAACTAAGCAAAGAGAGAAAGACTAATCAAGTCCTAAAAGAGTACCTGCTAATCCTCCTTCATGGACATGAAGCAGAATTCTCATATGTAATTGCCCAGTATAAAGAGAATATTCAGAAGACCAGTATCTTTCCCTCAAACCATATGGAGACTTAACTCCCACAGAAGTAGTTCTAAGGCACCAGTAAAATTAAAACACAAACCCCCCCAGTAAATATAAAAATCTCAGCATTTTCTTTCACTGCATTGGAGACATGGCATGTGGATTGCTTAAAAACAGTATTTTATGATAACAGACATCTAGATTGAAGGATAAAAAACCCAGTCCAACATTTTTGAACTGATAGGAGTTTGAATACTTATGGTTGTGTGGTTTTTTTTCAGTTATTTCAACTGAAAATTAAAAATGTAATTTTATGAACTTTTGACCATATGAGTACAAATACTTTGTCTTAAGAAAATTAAATAGCATATACACTTAAGACATTCTAAAACAAATACCACACAATGCCTATTACCATAGTTTGAAATTTATGTCATTATGAGGGAGAACAACACGTAAGGAAAAATGTGAAAAGAATTCTAGGACTGTATCTTAAGAAAATGTCCCGTATCTGAAATTTTGTACTTAATTCTTCAGCTTCCAAGCCTACACACATCATGCAGCTGCAATTTCAGGTATCAATTACCATTTCTCAATATACATGTTTCTAGACTTGTACTAGATTTCAGAATATTTAAAAACAAATTCTGGAAAACTTTGAATTCCCACACCCATCATAGAAAATGCAGAAAAGAGTTTCTTCAAAATTAGAAAAACACTATTAGCAAAACCCGAAGTATCATTAAAATATTATGAATTAAGACATTATAATCAAAATTGATTTGAAATATTAGAAAGCTCTTTTGTCTTTGTAGAAAGAATAATTAATAATTGCTTTAATTAAAAAAATTATACCATTACAATAGTTCTCACTCATGCTGTTGAAAATACAGCAAGGGTTAATTTGCTTGTAATTATTATGTATATGGCTTGTTTTGAATGAAGGAACATAAACCTATCCCTTAAAATATTTATTAGCCTTCTACTTTTATGTCCCCTTGAGTTTCACTCAGAGTATTATTACTATCATGGCACCCAACCTCTAGCCATGCATATTCCTTAGAAGGCAAAGTATGTGACTTCCCTGTGAGCCAATAAAATCAGTGGGATGGTTGTTTGGGTAATTCTACCTGCACTTCCCACAGGACAGCATATAAGTTGATATACTAAGACTACCCAGCAGCACGGAGTAAGATTCAAAAGTTTATCTCGTAACATGGGAGCCCCACAGACCACTGTAACTGTTGGAAGCCACTGAGTCAACTAATTAAAGACAATTTTATAGCCAGACTATTTGTTATCCTTACCCCACACTAACATGGAATAACCTAAAGGGAGGAAGGGCTTTCTAGGTTTTAAAAAAAGTCCCCTGTTGTCTTATATCTTTAAATGCAATTCTTGCGTTTACATGGACATGCTGTAGCAAAGCTCTTCAGTAAAAACAATATTGATTAACAGTATTTTTTGGAAGTAAGAGATGGAAACTGTTCTGAAGGTATTAGTGCAGCAGGACTGAAAAGAATAACTAGAAGAAAATATAACCTAAAAGATGAATAGTGAACTTTAAAAGAGACCCCATGGATTTTACCTAATACTGTGATGATAAACAGTCCTGTGGATCTAAGTCTGTTTTTCCCTACTTCTTAATTCAGCTATCAGCAGTATATTATCATATTTCTATAACAATCCCTTCTGAAATATGCCATTTTGTAGATTATTTCATTAGTAATATCTGAATATCTGACAAAACAACATATCATGACTAGCTGTCAGAACCAGACATGGATTTTCTGATATATCATTTCCCAGACAGAAAATCCTGTTCTGTGAAGGAGAAAGTACTCATAGGAACATGCTGATTTGTTTCAAAATGAAAAATATTTAAGTTAAGGTAAAAACATTCTGATCAAACATTTGCAGACCAAAGGTGTTTTGTTTTGTTTTTTTTTAAATAATAACTGCTATAAAACTTATTTTAATATCTCTAACATTTAAATGTTTTTTTAAGTATATTCCTCCTCTTTAAACTTTCTGCATTGTGATAAGGAGACACTATTGTTATTCCGTCAAAGGAATTTCCTTATGTCCTTGTACATAGAGGAGAAGTTCTCATTCAGTTTTAGAAGAAACATTGCTGAACTTGGTGCAGTTTAAAGTTACAATACTAAAGAAATATCAATCTATTTCCATCTTCTTTTGCAGTATCATGCAGCATACAAATAAATTCATAAAAAAATATGGAAAAACTATTGGGAGGTATGAGTTTCCTTAGCAGAAAACTACTATTTCAAACCAAAAAGCACAAAACAAACAAACAAACAAAAATAAGGTATTAGATATTTGTTAAAGCTTTGCTTAATATATATATCTTGTTTAGTATTTAATATTTCAGCTTTGCCTAGTATAAAGTACAAGTCTGTATATGCAGAAAACTCAAAGATTCATACATCTGCACTTCATGAATATATTATCATGTGTCCAACAGCAAATACAAACGAGGACAAATTTGAATATTTAAAGAGATTTTTGGTCATTTAAAATGTCTTGCTCAATTTTCAAAAACCACAGTAATCATTTTTACAATTACTTTAATTGAAAGTACAATAATCACATTAGCAGCAGAAAATAAGCACAAGCAGGCTTGTTTCAAGGTTAGGAAAACAAGGCACAACATAATCATTCTGAACGTGATCCAACACTCATTACAAATTGTCATGTCAAAGAATTCTTATCTGTGTGTTTAATACAGCACATATCGGCACTGAACCAAATGGCAATATGATAGTTTGGGGACTGTACAGTCTCTGTAGAACAGGAGGTAATGAGATGCTGTGAGAGTAGTTACAAATAGCACAGTGATAAAACAGGCCTAGAAAGTATCTCTTCTTAATTATACACGTAAATTTTACCCCATTCAGTAGCATGTCTCTTAGTAAATCAAAACTCACACCTTGTATTTAGCTGTGACATTTGTTACGTTTATGTGTCACAGCGTTATCACTTGGCAGTCCTCTCTCCTCTGTGCAGACAGTCTCTGGAAAGTCTGCAAATCAGTAACTCAGGTTTCCAGTCAAATCGCACATGATGTGTGTTCCTGCAAGAATCACGCACACAGATGCTTCAGGTTCAACATTCCTTTCAGTCCTGACCATGAGTAGAAGATTTCTATCTCTCAGTGCACTGCAAGAGTCACCCCACAAAATTTCTTTCTCTGTCTGTATCTGTGCTGAAGTCTCCAGTCTCTTGTGAAGATTCTCTCATCAGGACCATTCTTCAACTCCAGTTCCCTTCATGATGTCAACAAGAAGGGTCCCTCGTTTTCTCACCAAATTTCTCACCTACTTTAGGGTTAGTTTGTCTCTTGACAAGAGATTGTTTGATCTCCTTTTTGGATTTAACAGTCTCATCCAGGCTCCAGGAGAGAGGGACTTCTCGCTTGAATGAAGATGTCACTCTATATCCCCTTCCTGACAAGCTAATTCCAACCTTCTTCTCTTGGCAAAAAGTTTTTCCTTCCTCTTGTTCTTGCTTACTAGCTTTTACTCACCCTCACAAATCCTGCACTTTTATTGCAGGACATTTTATTGGACCTTTTCATAGACCTCAGACTGGGATTTTCCATCTCACTGGTCTTTCCATTTATTACTGCATCATTCTCTTCTGCATAAGGTGTAATGGCTCATACCTGTCCATCTTAAAAATGAGGTAATGAGGATGACTTGTAATTCTGACCTCCAAACTGCACTGCTAGCTGTGCACCTCTAATTTTTTGTACTGACATGTACATCTGCATTTCTCCTTAAGTAGAAAGAACTATGAACTAACTTTCCCTTTTCAGAGTTAAGAGTTTGTTTTACTGCTTAAATCTGGCTCTGAATCAACCAAAACATCTAACAGCACTTCTCCCAAACTAAAAGATACAACCTATATTGAGCTGCTTGAGGTTTTGTTTTCACCTTAGCTATGAATACCTATGGCATTACCATATATATTCATAACCTATATAGGAAAAATCCACTTTTAGATTTTCCAGTTCAAGATACTTGGAACCGATTATTCTAATTTTTTCAACTATCAAGACAGGTAATTCTCACTCAGTATAATATCTCACTGGAATTTCTAGAAACCCTAGATAAGAACCTCTTGAACTGCTTCCGTTAAACCGGACTCCAGAAGTTGGGGCATTACTTTTTTCTTTCTTTCTACCCTTGGGCAGAAATTCTCCATATGTTTTTTCTTACTGCTTTTCTTACTGCTTTCTTACTGCTTTAATCTTTTCTCATATTCTGCTAGCTTATCTTATTAAATACCATCTGAACATTTTGCTGCTTAAACATCACACCACTATACTGTTTCTTAGTCTTTACTTACAGGTTTCATTTTTAATTTTATAATAGATAAAATAATGTCTTCTCACAACTAATGATACCCTTATAAACAAAAAGCAGCTGTATTATAGAGCTTATCATGAATGTTTAGAGCACCTAGACATTCTGCCTATCAATCCATATACAATGAGTCTATTGAGATACATAACTTTCACAATTTTAAAAACTGTTTTCATTTTTAGAGAACGGACTGGTTCATCACATATGAAATATTTCCTTGAATAATTATATTCTAAGACACAGAATGACCCCATGGCCAGAGCTATATTGAGTTACTAATGCTTTATTATTTATTGGGAGTGGAAGTGGGAGCTTCACACTATTTGTGTAATATTTTGTTTCTGTCTCTGTCCATGCCTAGTATGGTTGCTTTAACCTGTAAAGACTAAATATGTGAAGTTAAGAACTTTTCAGAGGTTTCACTTTGTACTGACATTCTGTTCTCTCAGGATTTATATTTCTGTTACTCGTAGACAGAAGCATATTAAAAAAAAAAAAAAAAAAAAAAAAAAAAAAAAAAAAAAAAAAAAAAAAAAAAAAAAAAAAAAAAAAGAGATAGGAAAAGAAGAAAAAAAGCTTTTCTAACTGATTTTCTGCAAGATAAGCTAAACTAAAGCCTTGGAGGTAACATAAGAGCTGCTTAATAAAGAACCTATCACAATGTGCACACAAAAAAAGGAAGCTCAAGAGGCAAGTTTAAGCCTACTTTTTCTAATTTTAAGGCTTGGTTATGTAAAATAAATGTTATTTTAACATTAAAATAAAATACTTTTTTAAAATTTTCAAACAAGCCAAACAGTCTGAGAAAGGGGAAAAATCTGTCCCATAACAACAAAGCTGACCACTCAGGAGCCATTTACACTGCCAAGAGAGCAACAGTTGGGATCAATAATAAGCTGTTATTCTTCTTAGTGATTAGCTGATATTTGACAGAACAGATGTATTTAGGAATTTCATATTTGATTCTAAATTCTGGAGGTCACAAGTCTGTTCTAAGACTCACTCTCTTCAGAACAATAAATCTCTTCGCAGAGAATTAAAGTATCTAAGGCTTCTCTGAATCCAAAGAGAGGCTTAGTGAAACATCAGAAATTAGTAACTTCCTTTTCAAATAAACTCTCTTCCAGCCTTCCTAATCTTCAATACAACCCACATCTTACTTCCTGTCCTTGTTTCGTTTCTTGATGGAGGAGTAGACACACCATACAGCAATATGATACGTCTGATGCATATAAAGGGTGGGGGCTCAATATAAAAAAAGATGACCCTCACGCAAAACTTCAGTTCACAGGATTTGCTCATCCTCCTTTTAATTTAATTAGCACCAAATGCCACTGAGATAAAAAGAACTGAATGAACATATTTCATGTTCATTCTTAACTACAGATATGAAGACATGTCTTTGTCTTCCAAGAGCGTAAAAATAATTTTTCAAAAGTCATTGGCATACGACGATTTCCAGATGGGGTACCTGTGGTACACCATTTTCCCTCGGTTAGCACTTTAGGCTAAATTTTGCAGTAGAATTCAGTTTGGTAGTAAATTATATTGTTGAAAAGTATTCATTTCCAACTACTGTTATTTTGAAACCATCATGTCAGTGTTTCTATTTCACTCTAGTAACTATTACTTAATCTTTTTATTGTATCAATGGTAAGCAATAATAAATCAAGGAGCTGTTATTCAGAGAAAGATGCTTTGAAGTAACCATCAAAGAACAGTGAAGGCTGAAAGCAGAAGTAGGGACTCATTTAGTTCAAGTTTCTCCACCAATTCAGGCTACCAAAAAATGGAAACAAAAGCCAAGACAAAATGTTAAAACAGGTAATCTGTTATTCCCAGTTCTTCTACCAAGTCAGACAGGTATCAGGACTTTTATAAAAATAAGAAAGATCAATTCAAATAAATAAGAATATTTTATATTGAACTATGCATAACACAAAATATAAAAGGGATATCTGCTAGTAGAGCAGACTTTGTTTAAATAAATTGATGAAATGCCATGTGATATATCCTATAATTAAAAACAAGACAAGAATAGAAGAATAATAGAATAGCCTGAAATTTTTTTCTGAATATTGTCCTTATTAATCCTCAGTAATAAATAGCAGTAAGCAACAAGAAAAGACTAGCAACACCAGCCTCTCCTTTCCCCCTAAATCACAGAGTCTGCTTTGACAACCATAAGGCATAAGTATGCTGCCTGTTTTCAGCATGTCACACAATGGAGAAATTTTTGTGTGCTGTACCTTCTATATTTGGATAATGACAAAAAGGAACAGTAGCCACTGGGATGCATAGTGTGGAAGTCAGAGGGAGGTGTGGGGACTTTTTTTGACTGTAGAGTTTTTTCCATTAGATGGTATCTCTAAAAGGAGGCTCTCATAAAAAAAAATCAAGTTTTCTTTACCAGTTTAGGTCTAGAAGCTGCAGAATTTGCAAGAAAACTCCTCTTTGAAGAGACAGACTTCTTGACTACAAAGAAACAACTAATTGCTGGAATGAACTTTCAATGCCACTTTGTGCTGGCATTATCCCTTTCTTCTCTGAGCTTGAACATAACATGTCACTGATATGAAACTGCTGACTACTGGCTAAAGAGCTATGAAAAATGAGAAGGACATTTTTCAGTAAAGTAAGGGAAAGATGCCCTCAGTTCCTGAAGTTCACTAAGTTCCACCGCACATTGAGTCCCTCTGGATCATTCTGTTTGAATCAAGTGTTTGGAAAAAACATGTGCAGTCCCACATATTGAGCTAAAAAATGTACAAAGATTCCCCCCTCCCCCCCCTCCCCCAAGTCAAGAATTTTATGGAATAATCTCTCAAAGACCTTTCAACATTGACAATACGTAAGTGAAGGAGATCACAGAAAGAGAGCTGTAGCATAATGATGTAAGAATCATTTTTTCACTATTTAGTCATCCTGTACAGCTCAACAATCTGAGCTGCTTTCTTCTGACATTGCTCAGCAGGTTCACCTTTATCCTTGAAGAGTAAGCCTGCTGTGCAATCAGCATATACAGCCCTCCAAGGCTTGCATGGCCTAGAAGACAGCCTGCATTATCAGTTGGATAGAGCCCTTCGAGACCATTTTCAGGAATCATCAGTCACAGTAAGTTTAGGTCCGCACTTCTTAAACCAGAGAAGACACAATGTGTGTGGACTTCTCCATTAATTAAGGATAAAACTGACCATAAATGTTATCAGATTTCTGAAAGTAATTTTGATGCCCAAAATTCAGTTTGGTAGACACAGAATTTATCATTAATTACTTCTACAGATGTGTTTAAACTACAAACAGTGATCAGACAAAAATACTCTCAAATTATTGATGATAAGTGCATATTTCCTGGAAATAATACTGTAAAATAACAAAAACACCTTTAGTAATAAGGTAGAATTACTAGTTTACTTTTACTAAAGTAATTAATTATCCCTTAAAATTTATATATTAGGTAGGTCTAACCACAGCTCAGCATTTTTCTGTGTTTTTTATTTGTATTTGTTTCGTGTTCCATAAGTCACTTAATTCTTTAAATTCATTTTTTAAGTTTTCCATAGTGTAATAGTTTTTAACAATTAAATGAGAAATAAAAGACAAACAAACAAACCAACCAAACTTGAATTAGTCAAGGCTAGGTTTCCAAATACTGTATTTTAAGCACATGATTGTGGGCAGCATTTGATGACATTGTATACCCAAAGAAAGAAAACTTCTTTCAGAATGGGCAGTTAAAACAATTAGTACAACTGGCAGAATTGCATTTCTATGAGAGAACAGCTTCACAAATCCAGTTACAGTTCTCCAAATTGTTGCACAAGTCTTATATATGCACAGATTTTATTATGGCACCTGTATTTTTTAATTGTCTATGTTGCATGTGGGTATATGTATAATTGTAGGCCACCAACTTCATAAAATACATGTCCCTTTTATTTTTGCCCTTACATATAAAGTTTTTGCAAATAAGCACTGGCACAGCAAAATCATTTTTAATGACAATGAAAAGGAACAACTTTTGCACATGATCCAAGGCTGGAACTATTTATTTCAGTGTATGCAGAATCAGTTCCTTAACTGGCAGCTTTTATTGCTAGACCATCCAACTACTTACAAAATGTAATGCTGTTTTAGGCAAATACCTAAAACACTTGCCTTTCAGAAAAAAATCAGTATTTTTTGTTGTCATTCCCCAGAGCAGTTTTTAACTTAGTTGTCTAACTAGAGAGTAGTCCTCTTTTGTCAAGTTTCCATAACATAGGTGTCCTGTACTACAAACAGTGGAAGATTAAAGCACAGAGAACGACTCCTGAACTCCTCCTGACTTTCTTCAGCTGCAAAAACACAACTTGAAGAGATTCTGACATTAGGCTGCTGAAAACCTTTAAATTAAAAAGTGTTTTCTTATTCTGTACAGAAGTGAGGTTAAATTGCTATAATTTTCATAATAAATGTGACCAATGGCCACAGGACTCAGAAAAAGTGAAAATTCATGACACAGGGAAACTCTACTTTCAAAAGCAAGAGTATCTGGTAAACAAAGCTGCAGCTTCCCTACAATAAAAAAGGTAAACATAAAGCGTTGTAGCAGTTCAACAGTAATAAACAGGTGGGAGTCTTCTATTTGGGTGATACTTGTAAAGTGGTCTTGCTGCATTAGATTTTGTAACCCAGACTAATGGGCTGTAAGCAGCTAGGTAAATAGGTTAAATTAAGAGGGAGGAAAACACCTTTTGATTATCCTTATACATACACATATATACATATATCATTTAAGTGCACACGTGTATAAATACAATATAAATTTCAGGACCTCACAATTCAGTAGGCAAAGAATGCATCACAGTATTTTGAGATCAGTATTTTAGAAATTTCTTCTTTAGATACTCCTCCATTTTTCTGGAGCAGTAGACTTATGTATAGTCTGAGGATCTCTTTCCTTATGAAAAGACAGCTTCTGAGAGGTATACCTAAAAGGTAGCTATAGAAAAAGCAATCAATTAAAGCTTTTGTAACAGATGTTAGCATGGAAAGCATGCAAGGAATTGCAAGAATGTGAGATTTTTAAGACCTGTGAACTTTGCAAAAGTGTAATAAGTATCTGTATAGAATCAGATGAAAATGTCCCATCTCTTGGAAAAACATAGAATCAATAGAAAGAAAATGAATATATGATAATTAATGCAAAGTCCAGTCTAACTGAACTGCCAGAGAGTGTCAACCCTTTGAGGATAAGTTTAAGGCTCAGTATCAGGAATGCTGGGTGAAATGTGATAGCCCATGATAAACAGGATGTCTCTATGATCTGTCCTGGCCTAAAAAATAATGAAATCTGAGGTGATTAATATATCAGGTTCAGATAAAAATATGCACATAAAGAAGACATGACATGTTTTTTGCCAAAGAGTTAGGTTCACATTTGAGCTGTGTTAGAACAAAACTGCCAGTGAAGAACAATTATACCTCTTTGACTTCCTGCACCTTTTTCAGGACATTTTAACCAGACAAAATCTGAAAACACTGTTCTTGAAGCACATGGAATACATGCAATCTGGTACCAACTACAGAAGACAGAGAATCTTTTAGAATCAACAAACAAGAATGGTGAGATACTCCACAGTATGTGATCCAAATATCAATTGACTGAATATCTGCACTTTATGGTTTGCTGTAGTGGATAACAGTCCGGTATCCTGCCTAAGCTAAAGAGTCCCTTGACACTTGGTCATTCAGCTGCTCAATACATGAACAACATTCTTCATTCTTCCTAATTGCTGAACAAAAGTACTGTTGTATTATGAGGTAGAATTCACATGCTGTTGTCTCAGTATCTAGGTTTTGACATTTAAATGTCAGCTGACCAAACTAAGTCACTTCAAATTCTGTGGTACGACGAAGAAGCCTTCAC